AGAACAGATAGAGCGTTTTCACTGACACGTGGCCAACAGCAATGTAAACTGATTTTTTTTTTTTTTTCAAAAGAAAGTATTTACGTAAGAAAAGAGTTAAACTTTCTCAGGTCTGGTTTGGGACGCCAACATGGCCGCCGTTTTATTGATTTGGAACACCAACATGGTGGACATTCCTTGACGTACGTATTTTGGTGTAATATATGAACTTTTTGATACTGCTGTTCAAAGCGAAAACAGGAAGCCAAACACAGGTTCAAACCGAAAGACCTGACACGAGGTCTAGTAGGCTAATTACAAAGGAAGGCTTTGGAAACGGGAGGGCTCTTGGGGCCTTGAGTTGAAGAACTTAGTAGCAAACAGGAAAAAACACCTTAAAAACCAGAGCAAGAGAGTTAGTGTAGTTATGTCAACAGCGTTGAAACAAACAAACGAACAAACGAACAAACAAAAACAACCTCGGTCCCCTGTGTCCCAGTTTAAAAGCGAGGAAAGGATTTCAAGTATCAGAAAAAAAAAAACGAAAGCTGATTCCCGCGAAACCGAGGTCTGGAACGACACAAATGAATGCTTGAAAAGATATTAGCCTAAGAGATCTTGCCATCTTGCAAGGCTTCATTTGCCACCATCTCGAGAAGGGTTTATATATCGCCCCTTGCGTTTTGAGAGAATGTGCATCAGAACTAGCACCTTCACGTACTGGTGCATATATTAAACAAATCATCCCCCTGCGGTTTATTACCTAATGAATGGAAATGCGCTGATATCACACCGTTACACAAGAAGGGCTCTAAATCTCTCAGAGAACGTTACCGCCCAATGTCTCTAACTTCTATCGTTTGTAAAATTGGGGAAAAAATGTTTTTGATAGGTTGCATAAGTTTTGGCAGCAAACTGGTTTGATAAATAGCAACCAATTCGGTTTTCTGAAAGGAAGATCCACCGTAACACAACTGTTATCCTCGATGAACTGCTGGGCTAAACGCAACTGCGTAATTTGTCTCGTAGCTCTTCCAACCGATGTGATTTTCCTTGACCTGGCCAAGCCACTCGACAGTGTTCCTTAAGAGTGGCTGAGGTTGAAAAGTAATAGTATTTACAGCCGCTTGCACGCCTGGCTCAGGCAGTTCCAGGCAGGACGCAGGTAACGCTTGATTCTGAGTGGAACTAGGTCTTATTTTTCAAGTATTACCTCTGGTACCCCAAAAGGGACCATTCTCGGCCCATTATTGTTTTTGATCTATATAAACGATATAACCAACTGTGCCGGTCAACTGTGAAACTTTAAGCTGACGATACAAAGATCTATCGTCAAGTAGTCGACCCAATTAAGGATCCTCAGCTTTTACAAATGGATCTTTGTAACCTCATAGAATGGGCACGCAAGTGGCAGTTACGGTTTAATTCGGACAAGTGTGAGTCTATGCGCATAACTCATACACGCGATAAGTCTATTACGCAATATATGTTAGATAAGCCTTTGAAGGACCTGAAAAGCTTCAAAGACCGATAAACTGCCGACGTGAGGGACATCGATTAGAGCGTATACTACTGACTCGTTGCTCAGAAAAAATTTTAAATTCGAGGAAACGATAGTGAAAGAGAATCATAAGCAAAAGGGCGCAAATTATGTTTTCTGTCGTTTCTGGTACTTGCCACAATCATTGTCCTTACTAACTTATCTCTGCCATCTAAGACGAGTTGTTCATTTTACCACCCTGTTTAAGACAAGAGCGATTGTTTCACATGACCCTGGTTCATTCATTTTACATACAGAATTAACTAATTTTATACTTACATAGTAGAATTAAATTTTTTTTGGAAAATTCTTGTGACCGCTCCTCGCGAACCAGAGGGAATGGTTTTCAGGATGTTTTAGTCTTAATGAGGGCATACAATTTCACTATTTAGCGTAGTGAACAGATAGTTTCCTTTTTGACCGGATTGGAAGACTTTCTCTGTTCACTGCACTGAATAGTTGGAGGGAGGGCCATTACGAAAACTACCGGGTAACCAGTCAGGAAACGTTCCTAATCCTCCTTAAGTAAATTTTCTCTTTCTTCTTTCTTTCTAAATAGTTAAATTATATGCTTATGAGTTCGTGTCAATCAACAGTGAAAAGCAATACAATAACATTAGACTACCACACTGAGCTGGATAAAGGTACATTAATTTAATTGTTGGTGGGAAAAAAGCAAGCTGCAGCAAGGGGTGGACCTGGCAGCCTGAAGGCCACCCCCTTGGTGCGACTCGCTGAGGGGGGAGGGGGGTGGCGGGGGGAGTTCGATAGGCGAAAAAATATGGGTGTTGCTAAAATCTGCCACGAAATGATAACAGAGCTAGGGCACTCACGCAAACACCCAATATGCCGAGGTTAATGATAAACTAAACTCTAACTTTATATTAAATAAAGTTTACAAGTAGTACTGTTTGGAAAGCATAAACAGTCGTATTAGATTCTCTTTACTCTCAGTACAGGTAGGGATCCTAGGAGATACTGCAAGTTGCAAACTGGGTCCTTCTTTGGAGCAACGTTTCCTCTCTGGTAAAACAAACACAAAAAATACATAATTTGTTTACACTGTGCATATCTGTAACATTTTCAGTTTCGAACTCTTTAATTAAAGCATATTCGTCCCTATTTTCGGCCAAGGTTTAATTATAACAATAAATGGAATGAACACATCTTCGATTCGGCACGATGTTGAAGTTACCTCTCAAACCGCTGTGCTTGTTGTTTTTTTTTTCTTTATGCCTCCCTGAAGTTATCAACATAGCCGGCAAACATGTAACTAATGGTCTTGGTCTTTAATGTGTTTTCTGCCCTTTATCAGAGCTCAAATCAATGTTAAAACATAGCAAAAGTAGCAAATAAAAAAATTCGAAGGAACTGAAAACATCAGCCATCTTCGATCTGTCGTTTTCGAACTGATTAAATGTATCCCATTTTATAAAACCGTCATAAATCTAAAGAATCGTGATAGAAAAGATGGCCTGTGTATATAATGATGCTTAGGAAGCAAAACAAAATCTGCAAGTTGTTATGAAATTCCTCGAAAACGCTGTTGAAAACTGAACCCAGAACCTGCCATTTGGTCAGTTCAGGAGCCCATGGGTGATAGGCTCCTAGTCATTTTAATTAATTTTTGTTGTTCTTTCTCAAATTTGTCACTAGAAGAAGCCTGGATTACATTAACAGCTATATTTAATTTAATAAAATAATGCCAAATTAAGAGTTATAAAATCATTAAAATAGCCTCTATATTTGGCTTTCAATAAGAGATAAGCATTAATCAGTTATCTGTTGAAGAGGTCGACAAAGCACTGAAAGCAATGAAACCAGGAAAAGCACCTGGGTTGGATGGTCTAACTCTTGACCTGTGGAAATTGCCAAGAGTTAGGACGTTCCTACAGGATTTCTGCATTCACACGTTTGAGGACCATAGACCAGATGAATGGGGTATCTCAGGAATAGTTCCAGTGCCCAAGAAAGGAAACCTCACAATTCGCGACAACTACAGAGGTATCAGCTTAACCCAAATTGCAGCAAATGTGTACAACTGAATGATTTTTAATAGAATTAGACCTGTCGTCGAGAAGCTATAACGCCCCACCGACAGCTTCGTTCTATTGCCTCCCACACCTTGGCACTGAGGCGCATTGTCGAGGAACTGTGTTAAACCACAAGAAAGAGGCTGTGACTTCAAAAAGGCATTCAACTCCATTGTCAGAACCAAAATGCTTAGAATTCTCCTAGCCTATGGGATTCCCCATCAGATGGTGGAAGCAATTAAGGTAATGGATGAAAACACATCTGCGCTGGTGATAAACCGACCTGTTCCTCATAGACACTGGAGTGCTTCAAGGTGATCCACTGGCTCCGTTCCCATTCATAATCTTTCTCGATTGTGCCCTGATAACTGCCATCTCACCATCTGATGGAATTACATTGAGAAAGCGTCAAAGTTCAAGACACCTGAAGGAGGTTCTTTCTGATCTCGCGTATGCGGATGAATGAGGCTCCTGGAGAATGTCCTCAAAGAAGCTGAAGATTTGCCTCACCGAGTTGAGGAGGCATCACAATATTTTGGCCGGCTCTTTTTGAATGCAGGGAAAACTAAGTTCATGCGTCTAAATCCACCATCTGATGATCAAATGCTCTCTCTTGATGGATCAGAAATTGGAAAGGTCGATGACTTTCTTTCCCTGGGTAGTTACACAGAAACATCCCACGACATCGACACCAGGGTATCTCCAATTAAGAAAGCAACTAAAATGCGCCTGTTCAAAGGTAAAGTCGAGTGCATACTTCTCCATGGGTCCGACTCATGGTCACTGACAAAATCTCTGGAGAAAAAGCTCGATGGCGCGTATACACGTAATGCTGAGGAAAGTACGAAATATGTCTTGAAAAGACAAAGTCACTAACAATTTTCCCTACGGCTCGAACCCTCGTGTCACTGAGATAATTAACGAAAACGACTTAGTTTGGCTGGTCAAGTGTCAAGACACAATGAGCCAGCTGGCAGAGTTCTGTTGTGGGAACCTGATAAGCGGCGAAGAGTGAGTCACCCCAAAATTACCGTAAAGAAAATCTTGGAAGATGATACTGGTTTGGAGGCACGTGAACTCCAAACTGTTATATTGGACAGTTGGAGGAAGAATTTCGTCAAGTCACCGATTTTCTCGGATGCAGTTAAGTAAGTAACCAAAAGTAAGTAAAATCATCAAATAAATCAGAATAGAATTAGAACTTTTTTGCCCGTATCATGGATGTTAAAATTCGGTTGCTATGGTAGCGTCAATGTTGATGTTTTCGTCACGAAGTACTTTAAAATGTTCCCAGATATAGTTTTAGGAAAATGTTTTTAACTTTTGGCGGTCATAACTTGAACGACTTTAAAGGTATTCAACTTTAAAGGAAACGCCCCGGTCAGAATAGGCCTAGGGTTAAGTAAGTCCCCGTTTATTTCTCGTTGAGCGACACTCGCTAAGCTTACCTTGACGATCCCGTGCAGTGTCTTCATCGTACGAGTTACCTCACATTTAACTCCAAATTCAGTGATATGACACGTCCAAGGAAGTGACTTAAATTTCATGATGGTGCATTGCCGCGCTACCTCCACCAGCACGCGATGAACTTGGAACTCAAACTCTGGGTACCCTGTTAAACTAACTATAATGGTGCCAGGTTTAACGTGGGGTGCTAAAGCCTCTAAATAAACTTGATGACAGGATGACGCATACATCATAAATATTACAATCTGAGCATCTCGCATAGCATCTTCTGGGTTTTTTGTCACCAGAGCTGGTTTGGATACAATACTGGAGGTTTTTTCACCTTCACAACGAAATGTAACCTCAAGTTTCTTTTGCTGCAGTGCAGTATTCCAGCGCTTTGCTTCATTCTCATGCAAAGCAAGAATTCGAACGTCAGTGTCTTTTCGAGAAGATGCAATACCAGCAAACACGTGTGCTCCATCTCCGCTTCCACAAATCACCAACTTTATGGTGTCTGATTTCCTTCCCTATGAATTAAATGAGTTTATATGTTAAATTTTTTCTTTTAGCACATTTGATTTACGATACAAGTATCTGCTGTCATTTATAATATCGGTTGCCATGAAAAAACGTTCTTTTATTATTCTATCAGTGACAGCAAGGGTTCAAACCTTTGAAAGTATTTGCATAGCAATTTCGAATAGTATTTTCCTGTAAGAAAACAAATCCCTTACTTTGCTATTTGCCAAGTTAAATGCTCTTCAACAAATTTGTTTTTGTCATTATAATTATTCGTCGTCATCATCATTATCATCATCATCAAACTTGGGATCATGGTTTGACTCTAATCTTGATATGCTTAGCCATGTCAATAATATCTGCAATTCGTCTTTTTATTATATCTACAATTTACGTAGGATCAGAAAGTATTTGTCTCATCAAACCGCCAAATCCTTTATCCATGCGTTTATTACCACTAAATTGGACAACTGCAACAGCCTATTATATGGCGTTCCTACTATTCACATTAATAAACTTCGAAGAGTTCAAAATGCTGCTGCCAGACTTGTAACTAACACTCCTCGTATCTGTCATACCACTCCCATTTTAAAAGATCTTCACTGGTTGCCCATCAAATACAGAATTGAATTTAAAATTGTGTTATTAATATTCAAGTGCCTCTAAGGACTCGCACCACAATATCTGGTTGATCTTATTGCTGTCGCTGCCCAGTCAATATATAATCTTAGGTCAAGGAACGCAACTTTGTTGGTATCAGCCAACGCACGGTGCCTACCTACACTTGGTGACCGAGCTTTTCAGCCCAAACTGTGGAACATTCTTCCGGCGGAGACAAGAAACATTCAAAGCCTCAAATCTTTTAAGCGATCCCTCAAAACGTACTTTTCTAAGATACCTTTTTAATTGACTTATTCATGTATTTTTAAGTTTTTAGTTTTTATCTGTTTTTTTTTAATTTTATTATTTTATTATTATTTTTTAAGGTGGCTCGACTGGGTTTTTTTGGGCGGATACCTCACACGTTTGAGCTTTAACTACGTCGGCATGAGTAAAGATATGGGAAAAAGATTACCACAACTGAATTATATAATGATGAAAATTTCTTATAATCTGGGTTTTATTGCAATCGGAGACGCCATGGCAACGTAATGACGCCATTACGCTTTTTATTTATCTTTGTGTTTCTCTGTACCAGGAGTTTTTTTGAAGAAATCTAAGGGAGTATGTACCTGACATAATTGCCTCCATTATGGCAGGCATTCTATTGTTTATGCGCAATATAAGTTTTATATTTATTATTATTATTTATTAAAAGAACTGGAAGCTTTGAAATTGACTAAAATATCAGTTGACAAGCTTGTTGGTTTAAATTATTTGATTTAATGCCCATAAATTTCGATTTGACCTACATGATATTGCAACCTCATAGAATGGGCACGCAAGTGGCAGTTACGGTTTAATTCGGACAAGTGTGAATCTATGCGCATAACTCATACACGCGATAAGTCTATTGCGCAATATATGTTAGACAAGCCTTTGAAGGACCTGAAAAGCTTCAAAGACCGATAAACTGCGGACGTGAGGGACATCGATTAGCGCGTATAGTACTGACTCGTCGCTCAGAAAAAATTTAAATTCGAGGAAACGATAGTGAAAGAGAATCATAAGCAAAAGGGCGCAAATTCTGTTTTCTGTCGTTTCTGGTACTTGCCACAATCATTGTCCTTACTAACTTATCTCTGCCATCTAAGACGAGTTGTTCATTTTACCACCCTGTTTAAGACAAGAGAGATTGTTTCACATGACCCTGGTTCATTCATTTTACATACAGAATTAACTAATTTTATACTTACATAGTAGAATTAAATTTTTTTTGGAAAATTCTTGTGACCGCTCCTCGCGAACCAGAGGGAATGGTTTTCAGGATGTTTTAGTCTTAATGAGGGCATACAATTTCACTATTTAGCGTAGTGAACAGATAGTTTCCTTTTTGACCGGATTGGAAGACTTTCTCTGTTCACTGCACTGAATAGTTGGAGGGAGGGCCATTACGAAAACTACCGGGTAACCAGTCAGGAAACGTTCCTAATCCTCCTTAAGTAAATTTTCTCTTTCTTCTTTCTTTCTAAATAGTTAAATTATATGCTTATGAGTTCGTGTCAATCAACAGTGAAAAGCAATACAATAACATTAGACTACCACACTGAGCTGGATAAAGGTACATTAATTTAATTGTTGGTGGGAAAAAAGCAAGCTGCAGCAAGGGGTGGACCTGGCAGCCTGAAGGCCACCCCCTTGGTGCGACTCGCTGAGGGGGGAGGGGGGTGGCGGGGGGAGTTCGATAGGCGAAAAAATATGGGTGTTGCTAAAATCTGCCACGAAATGATAACAGAGCTAGGGCACTCACGCAAACACCCAATATGCCGAGGTTAATGATAAACTAAACTCTAACTTTATATCAAATAAAGTTTACAAGTAGTACTGTTTGGAAGGCATAAACAGTCGTATTAGATCCTCTTTACTCTCAGTACAGGGAGGGATCCTAGGAGATACTGCAAGTTGCAAACTGGGTCCTTCTTTGGAGCCACGTTTCCTCTCTGGTAAAACAAACACAAAAAATACATAATTTGTTTATACTGTCCATATCTGTAACATTTTCGGTTTCAAACTCTTTAATTAAAGCATATTCGTCCCTATTTTCGGCCAAGGTTTAATTATAACAATAAATGGAATGAACACATCTTCGATTCGGCACGATGTTGAAGTTACCTCTCAAACCGCTGTGCTTGTTGTTGTTTTTTTTCTTCATGCCTCCCTGAAGTTATCAATATGGCCCGCAAACATGTAACTAATGGTCTTGGTCTTTAATGTGTTTTCTGCCCTTTATCAGAGCTCAAATCAATGTTAAAACATAGCAAAAGTAGCAAATAAAAAAATATATATCAAAAACATCAAAAAGAACTGAAAGCATCAGCCATCTTGGATCTGTCGTTTTCGAACTGATTAAATATATCCCATTTTATAAAACCGTCATAAATCTAGAGAATCGTGATAGAAAAGATGGCCTGTGTATATAATAATGCTTAGGAAGCAAAACAAAATCTGCAAGCTGTTATGAAATTCCTCGAAAACGCTGTTGAAAACTGAACCCAGAACCTGCCATTTGGTCAGTTCAGGAGCCCATGGGTGATAGGCTCCTAGTCATTTTAATTTTTTGTTGTTGTTTTTTCTCAAATTTGTCACTAGAAGAAGCCTGGATTACATTAACAGGTATATTTAATTTAATAAAATAATGTCAAATTAAGAGTTATAAAATCATAAAAATAGCCTCTGTATTTGGCTTTCAATAAGAGATAAGCATTAATCAGTTATCTGTTGAAGAGGTCGACAAAGCACTGAAAGCAATAAAACCAGGAAAAGCACCTGGGTTGGATGGTCTAACTCTTGACCTGTGGAAATTGCCAAGAGTTAGGACGTTCCTACAGGATTTCTGCATTCACACGTTTGACGACCATAGACCAGATGAATGGGGTATCTCAGGAATAGTTCCAGTGCCCAAGAAAGGAAACCTCACAATTCGCGACAACTACAGAGGTATCAGCTTAACCCAAATTGCAGCAAATGTGTACAACTGAATGATTTTTAATAGAATTAGACCTGTCGTCGAGAAGCTATTACGCCCCACCGACAGCTTCGTTCCAGTGCCTCCCACACCTTGGCACTGAGGCGCATTGTCGAGGAAGTGTTAAACCACAACAAAGAGGCTGTGACTTCAAAAAGGCATTCGACTCCATTGTCAGAACCAAAATACTTAGAATTCTCCCAGCCTATGGGATTCCCCATCAGATGGTTGAAGCAATTAAGGTAATGGATAAAAACACATCTGCGCTGGTGATAAACCGACCTGTTCCCCATAGACACTGGAGTGCTTCAAGGTGATCCACTGGCTCCGTTCCCATTCATAATCTTTCTCGATTGTGCCCTGATAACTGCCATCTCACCATCTGATGGAATTACATTGAAAAAGCGTCAAAGTTCAAGACACCCAGAGGAGGTTCTTTCTGATCTCGCGTATGCGGATGACATTGCTGTCCTGGAGAATGTCCTCAAGGAAGCTGAAGATTTGCTTCACCGAGATGAGGAGGCATCACAATCTATCGGCCGGCTCTTTTTGAATGCGGGGAAAACTAAGTTCATGCGTCTAAATCCACCATCTGATGATCAAATGCTCTCTCTTGATGGATCAGAAATTGGAAAGGTCGATGACTTTCTTTCTCTGAGTAGTTACACAGAAACATCCCACGACATCGACACCAGGGTATCTCCAATTAAGAAAGCAACTAAAATGCGCCTGTTCAAAGGTAAAGTCGAGTGCATACTTCTCCATGGGTCCGACTCATGGTCACTGACAAAATCTCTGGAGAAAAAGCTCGATGGCGCGTATACACGTAATGCTGAGGAAAGTACGAAATATGTCTTGAAAAGACAAAGTCACTAACAATTTTCCCTACGGCTCGAACCCTCGTGTCACTGAGATAATTAACGAAAACGACTTAGTTTGGCTGGTCAAGTGTCAAGACACAATGAGCCAGCTGGCAGAGTTCTGTTGTGGGAACCTGATAAGCGGCGAAGAGTGAGTCACCCCAAAATTACCGTAAAGAAAATCTTGGAAGATGATACTGGTTTGGAGGCACGTGAACTCCAAACTGTTATATTGGACAGTTGGAGGAAGAATTTCGTCAAGTCACCGATTTTCTCGGATGCAGTTAAGTAAGTAACCAAAAGTAAGTAAAATCATCAAATAAATCAGAATAGAATTAGAACTTTTTTACCCGTATCATGGATGTTAAAATTCGGTTGCTATGGTAGCGTCAATGTTGATGTTTTCGTCACGAAGTACTTTAAAATGTTCCCAGATATAGTTTTAGGAAAATGTTTTTAACTTTTGGCGGTCATCGCTTGAACGACTTTAAAGGTATTCAGCTTTAAAGGAAACGCTCCGGTCAGAATAGGCCTAGGGTTAAGTAAGTCAGCGTTTATTTCTCGTTGAGCGACACTCGCTAAGCTTACCTTGACGATCCCGTGCAGTGTCTTCATGGTACGAGTTACCTCACATTTAACTCCAAATTCAGTGATATGACACGTCCAAGGAAGTGACTTAAATTTCATGATGGTGCATTGCCGCGCTACCTCCACCAGCACGCGATGAACTTGGAACTCAAACTCTGGGTACCCTGAGAAACTAACTATAATGGTGCCAGGTTTAACGTTGGGTGCTAAAGCTTCTAAATAAACTTGATGACAGCCTGACGCATACATCATAAATATTACCATATGAGCATCTCGCAAAGCATCTTCTGGGTTTTTTGTCACCAGAGCTGGTTTGGATACAATACTGGAGGTTTTTTCACCTTCACGACGAAATTTAACCTCAAGTTTCTTTTGCTGAAGTGCAGTATTCCAGCGCTTTGCTTCATTTTCATGCAAAGCAAGAATTCGAACGTCAGTGTCTTTTCGAGAAGATGCAATACCAGCAAACACGTGTGCTCCATCTCCGCTTCCACAAATCACCAACTTTATGGTGTCTGATTTCCCTTCCTATGAATTAAATGAGTTTATATGTTAAATTTTTTCTTTTAGCACATTTGATTTACGATACAAGTATCTGCTGTCATTTATAATATCGGTTGCCATGAAAAAACGTTCTTTTATTATTCTATCAGTGACAGCAAGGGTTCAAACCTTTGAAAGTATTTGCATAGCAATTTCGAATAGTATTTTCCTGTAAGAAAACAAATCCCTTTACTTTGCTATTTGCCAAGTTAAATGCTCTTCAACAAATTTGTTTTGTCATTATAATTATTCGTCGTCATCATCATTACCATCATCATCAAACTTGGGATCATGGTTTGACTGTAATCTTGACATGTTTAGCCATGTCAATAATATCTGCAGTTCGTCTTTTTATTATATCTACAATATCCATAGGATCAGAAAGTATTTGTCTCATCAAACCGCCATATCCCTTATCCACGCGTTTATTACCACTAAATTGGACAACTGCAAGAGCCTACAATATGGCCTTCCTACTATTCACATTAATAAACTTCGAAGAGTTCAAAATGCTGCTGCCAGACTTGTAACTAACACTCTTCGTATCTGTCATATCACTCCCATTTTAAAAGATCTTCACTGGTTGCCCATCAAATACAGAATTGAATTTAAAATTGTGCTATTAATATTCAAGTGCCTCTACGGACTTGCACCACAATACCTGGTTGATCTTATTGCTGTCGCTGCCCAGTCAATATATAATCTTAGGTCAAGGAATGCAACTTTGTTGGTATCAGCCAACGCACGGTGCCTACCTACACTTGGTGACCGAGCTTTTCAGCCCAAACTGTGGAACATTCTTCCGGCGGAGACAAGAAACATTCAGAGCCTCACATCTTTTAAGCGATCCCTCAAAACGTACTTTTCTAAGATACCTTTTTAATTGACTTATTCATGTATTTTTAAGTTTTTAGTTTTTATCTGTTTTTTTTTTAATTTTATTAGTTTATTATTATTTTTTAAGGTGGCTCGACTGGGTTTTTTTGGGCGGATACCTCACACGTTTGAGCTTTAACTACGTCGGCATGAGTAAAGATATGGGAAAAAGATTACCACAACTGAATTATATAATGATGAAAATTTCTTATAATCTGGGTTTTATTGCAATCGGAGACGCCATGGCAACGTAATGACGCCATTACGCTTTTTATTTATCTTTGTGTTTCTCTGTACCAGGAGTTTTTTTGAAGAAATCTAAGGGAGTATGTACCTGCCATAATTGCCTCCATTATGGCAGGCATTCTATTGTTTATGCGCAATATAAGTTTTATATTTATTATTATTATTTATTAAAAGAACTGGAAGCTTTGAAATTGACTAAAATATCAGTTGACAAGCTTGTTGGTTTAAATTATTTGATTTAATGCCCATAAATTTCGATTTGACCTACATGATATCGTTTGAATACAATAGGTTAAGCTAGGTAGCTGAAGTTTTTGAAAAGAGACAAACAGCTTGTAAACAAGAGATTAAATATTCATTTTCTTTAATTCACTAATTTTTCAGAGTTTATGAAGCTTTTACTGTGAAACTCACGATCAGAACCATGAACACCAGAAATATTTCTAGAAAGTTACTGCGTTGCAAGGAAAAAGCCAAACAGGCATGAGGAAACTGAACAAAATAAAGGAAACTAGCCAAAACAGAAACGTTATAACATGCAAAAAGTGAGTAAATTAAACCACAAGTAAGAATGACAATAAGTGGGTTTGTGGCATGCTCTCGTATCCTGTTTTTGTTATGATTGGACACAAGACAATAAACATTTCAGAACCTTTTTTCTTGGTATTCACGGTTCTCGTTTTGTTTTTAAGAAAAATTCATTGAAAGTTCCTTATGAAGTACTATATTTCCTTAGTTGCTGTTTTGGAAATTGATTAGTTTCAATTGTTGTCACTGCTAGTGCTGTCTAATGTGGAATCGAATTGGTCGTATTTTGTCAACTATACTTGTTGCTGGGCTGACAGTAAAAGAGCCAATCAGGTTTTTCGGTAGCTTAGTCGTCTATACTTGATAGGGTCAACTTCTGGTGTATACTGTTTCATAGCGGTAATTTTCTGTTTCTTAAACTGAGACTGGTAAAGTAAAGTAAGTTTTAGTTTCGTTTTAATATTGCATTTAAAGCTCTTCTACCAAGGTAAATATGTTTCTGTTCGACGGGGAAGCAGCCCCATGTACCCAGACCCACCATTTAAGTTTTGTTGTAGTTGAGTTCTGCTGTTGTCTACTAATGTTAGAATACAAATTACGCAAACAGTCGAGCCTTACAAATAGTTTGAAGCTCCCCAGTGTACCAGCAATGCCAGCCAATCCAGTACCTCCACCAATGAAAGCAGTCGCCGCGGAGCCAATAACTCCGGTGGCACCTGCACTTTGACAAAGAGCAAACAGACTTCCGGCAGCCACAGATCCACCATAAACAGCTGACTGCACTCCTGCTGCGACAGAACCAGCAGCCACTCCAGCGGAAGTGAATCCAGCCGCACCCAAAGCAGCACCAGCAATCACTGGAGCAGCTAGTACCCCCACAGCAGTAGCAGCCACGCCCACAGCTGCAACAGCTGCAATCTTCTTGGCTGTGTTAGATGAAGGCTTTTTTCCTGTTAAACAAACATTCACACAAACCTTTTTTAATATCGAATGATCAATGGCCCCTAACCAATAATTAGCTCTTGTTAAATATAACGTTGATAAAACTTTGAAGTTGCAGTTCTTGCTTTTTATAGGGTAGTAATACAATTACCTAAAATATTTATAATATAAACTGTAGCTCTGCCTTTGATTTGACCTGTTGCACGTTTTCCCGGCAGTATTTGCCCGCCATTTGGTAACAAACCAACGAAGAAGAAGTGGTAGAAGACTTGTGCGCAAGATGGAGAATAATAATGGTAAAACCTTGGAGAAATTGAGATTCGTTATTTCGATAGATGAACTTTGTTGATCTTGGAATATCTCTTTTTAAAACTTTCTACAGGTCTTGAAAAAAGTGCTTGGACTTTTTCGAGATATTCTAGTGGCTGTTTCGTGTAAAGTGGAAATGGGCCGCGCTTTTTTTGTGAAAGCTTGAGAAGTAATCGTCTGTGGCAAAATGATCTTGCCCAGTACCGCTTTCGTGGTGATCAGCGAGACTGGACGAGTATAAGAGATATACTTAATATGTACCTCTGATATATTTCTGATCACTGAAGAGTGTGTGATGGACTAGCTAGTCATGGAATAAAATGTGCCGCTCTTTCACTTGCTCGAGTTAGGGTCAGAGAGCCCTGGAAGTCCATATCGGAAAAGATTACGCGTTTGAAATCCATCCCGGTGGTCTAGATTTGCCGTAAGCGCGAAAAAACTGATTCGATTTTGCGTATAAAAAAACGGACAAGAAATTTCAAATATTCACGAAATCCTTTTCAGGGGCCACCACATTCTGCTTAAAGTACACTTTTGTGTACGCAAGAGCGAAAAAGCTTGTTTGACTCAGCCAGCAATTAATTCAGGCTGATCACCACTAAAGATGGAGACTACTGCATGAGCATGTGTTGTATTTTGACGATATCACTACGGGACTCCGCCAACGACTCGACAACTTCTGCTGGCAGTGATATCGATTCAGAAAGTAAGGACTCTAAATCTCCAAAACCTGTCAGAGGAACAAATAAACAGTTACTCAAAATTTAACCAAAAAAAGCAATTTACAGAAAACATATGTATATTTGGGGACTACAAAGCATTCAGGGCAAGTGAACGTCACTATTTAAAGATGAATTAATCTCCCCATGCAAGGGAATCCAAGAGAGTCTTGGATTCTAGATTTCACGCCGTGGATTCCGGATTCCAGGTACTTGATTCTACTCCTTGTAAGTGGAACTTGGATTCTGGATTGCAATCGTTAGTTTAATTCCGGATTTCTTGAACTGTATTCCGAATTTCAAAACCTGGGATTCCCGATCCCATAAGCAAAAATTTTCCGGGTTCTGGATTCCCTCACATGGGGCGAAATTAAGCTTAGCTTTTACCATTGTTCGATGGAGTGCAATTTTCTGCATTCTCAACATCCTGATGTGGTGGTGATTCCGATTGCACCGGTTGCTTCGGCTCCTTTGGATCACTTGATTGCTCGTTCCTCTTTTCCTACGCAAAAGAGATATATATTCAGTATAACCTAACGCCCTAAAAAAAACAGCCCTTTACTGGCTTACCTGTTTAGAAAGTTCAAATCCAGTGAGAAGCTATTCTGAGAAACTTATACTTGCATGGATTGGCAATTTTATTTTCATACCAAAGACCAGAGCTAGGAAGATTATTAATCATGCGTTACAACCTACTAGTTAAGAAGTATGAGAAAAACATAAGACTTCACAGGGGTAACGCAATAGAGCCAAATGAAGTGGACAAAATCGATGAATTCACACCGAAACACACCGAAATACATGTAGAACAAAAAAATTAACATAAATCTTCTTTATCAAGTTTATTGATCAAAAGTTAAAATATAACGATATTTATCGTTCGCAGGCATCAGTATTTGACTTCTCATACAACATCAGATAACAACGACTCTCAAAGATCGCTCGGTCAGTGCCTTCTCATTTTTGTGCAAAACGCGCAAAAGTCTATGATCACTTGTAACGCGATCGTCAATGGAAATTACATTCCACCCCTCGTAACTCGAACTTCAGACGCCTGTGTTTTCGCAAGTCTACACTTGTTCTCAAGTTTTTCAGCACGACCAGGCGTGCAAAATATTTGTTTCTTGAAGGTTCGGAGCCTCATAAAGCCACAAGTGATGAATGTTCAAAATGAGAAAAAAGCGGTACATACAAGTAAAATTCATCTGGTCACCATGCATTATAGAGGTTAGTACAATGCGTGTTTTATTTTCAGCGATGAGACTGTTGGACTGAACCGGCAAACTTGCTGCGAACCTGTTGACGGGAAGTCAACAAATATAATTTTACATATTTAATTCAAGGTGGAAATAATTCGAGTTGTGG